TTGTTTTTTTAAAAAAAGAAAGAAACTAGCCCTATTCGATCGCATTTTTTAGTCGGTTGTGGTTTAATTTGATTGGCCGGAACTGCTTGCATTTGTTTGCGCGACCGATCTTTTAGACCAATATTAGCCCTGTTCAATTCAAGATCGTATCGCTCAGATCGGAAAAAAAAATTAACCGATCAAACCGCAGTTACAATTGAGCACAATTTGTATAGCTCGATCGGATCATATCATAAAAAATAAATATTGTTGGTCGCTGGCACGCGTCACGTTAATCAAAATCGATGGATCGGTTTGACTGACCGCTGATTGTTTTTTGTAACCAATCATTTAGGGGCACATTTTGCAATCAATCCGGTCGATCTAGAATTGAACAGGGCTATTTTTTAGGTTTTTTGGATCGAACTTTTTCTACCAATAAGATTGCTTTATTCCTAATAACTGATGATTTTGAACAGGGTTACTATTTCTTATATAATAAAGAACGGAACCAAACTCCAATCAAATTAAATTGTTTTGTGCGACTATAATAATGGTTGAATGATGTTTGTGTTTAATCAAATACAAGAACTTTAAACCTACAAATTGTAATGTACTGTATATCAAGTGAAATTTTGAAAGTTAAAATCATTTATTAAATTTTTAAACTCAATAAAGTGTTTACATATTGTGTTTCTAACAAAAAATACGTTAATTCTAAAATATTGACACTATTAAGATGTCATTCATATCTTAAGGTCCATATTTACTATATTTGTATAGGAATCATATCTAAAATCTTTGATCACTCCATTATTTTTATATTTATTAATCAATGTGACGTAATCATCTCCTTCATAAATAGATTCGGGTGTAAGTACTAAGGAAAGTGCACAACCTTTCCGTGTTTCTAAGAATTTCTCTAAAGTTTCCAAAGGGAAATCAAAATCACCACAAAATCTAAATTCCTTTATATTGATCGGCGTAGAACTAATTAATATTTCTAATAAATTTTCTCCATTTTCTAAAAAGATTTCTTGAGTTATGTCTTCATAGCTTATATCAACCATAATTAATATTAATAATTTCAAATTATGACAAATTTTTAGTAATTTTTTAAGTTCAGAAAGATGCTCATTCGATGGTGGAAACATAAGTGATAAACATTCAATTGAAGGACAAAATTTATGAATACTACGTATAAAAGTAAGAGAATCTTCATTGAAGTTATCTTCAAAATCTTCAATTTCATAAGGTTCTAACAAGATTTTCTTTAAATGTCCTCCACTATTTTCAATTATAATAGAAGCTGCTCCTAAATTACCATAATCTATCATAAATATTTCAAGATCACGATATACACACTTTTTTAATTGTTCTTTATCAAAGGACTCAAAATTTGCTATCAATGATTTTATTTTATGAAATTTTGGGAATACCTTTGGTGATGAACGACTAATAAATTGAAAGACAATATTTAAATGAATGATATTATTTGCACTTTTTTCTAATGCAAAAAGAATCTCTTTGTAACGGTCCGATCCAGAAGAATATAAAAGAGACCTATCATCTCTCAATTCAAAATACTTTAGATTTTTCTGAACTCCAATTAATTCGGAAATACCATTATAATTGTTTATTCTTACATTAGCAATAATGAGTTTCTGTATATATTGACATAGCTGTGCTAATCCATAAAAATATGAAGAATCTACTGACGTATCACATTTTAATTCACAAAGTGATTCAAAACGAAGTGTAGCCTCCGGAAAATAAAATATTTGATGTCTAATTGATTTCATATCCAAATACTTTAACTCTGAAAATTTCTTCATAAAGAGACGATAAAATTCTTGTTGCAAAAGAAATTGATTATAAATTAAAGAAGACCCAATAGAAGTTATAGTGTTTATAGTATTTACATTAATACTACTACAAAAAGACAAATAATCAAACAAAAGAGTTTGGCATGAAACTAACGGTAATTGAATTCCTCGTCTCGTCAGGAATTCTTTAATATCATCAGATAAATAAGAAGCAATAATTGTAAATAAATAACTTTTATTATCATAATTAATATCGTTATAACTCCAAGGATTTCTCCATAAAATTGGAATCACGGTTTCACACCAAAGTCTATTTACCATTAGACATGAAAAGAGAGATTTAGGATCATCTTGTAATTCTTCGAATATTAAGAAAAGAATATGTTTATCGAGTTTGGACATTCTTTATCAAAATAATTAGTCTTTTATAATTAATTTGTATCCTCAATTATAATTTTTCGTAATATTGAAATATTTAATTGTAAAAAAAAAAAAAGTTTCTTTTTAGAATAAATGTGAATGTTTCAAATTTTACGCCAAAAACTTGATTTGGCTAGTATTTATATCATCTACATCATGTGCTACATATTGTGGTACATGACACTGAATAGCATACAAAAAAAAAACTCGTCACTTTTATTAAAATTCCGCAGTAACATATATATTCGAAAACACAAAAATATTTTTTCGAGGAGAGAGGACCACGGGGTGGCCTCTGACGGGAAACACTCCACATTAACATCAAGACCTTAAGGAAAGATGAACACACCGCACCACTGGGTCCCTTCTCTAGAATATTTTCGAACAGAAGAGTTTCACTTTCTTGGTGACTTTCTTATTCACGACCCTCCGCCTTTTGAAAATTACTTACCAGGCACCGACACCTATAATGACTTATTACTTATCCACAAAGTTCACATAAACAACAAGCTCGACTAAACTATATTGGTTTACCAAAAAAGAGTAAAAGTAGTCTATATCGATACCTCCTGACCTTGACGGCTGGTTAGCTAACACGTTCGTTCATACCTTCGACAAACATCTTTGCACGCAGCATGGTCACGTGCACATCATGACAATCTACTTTTAACGGAAATCTACCATCGCTATTTGATCGACCTTGGGTTCAAGTAGAACCAATTGAATCACACGCTGACATTTTTGAAATCTCCCATTTAGGTAAAAATTTATACAACAAAAAGAATCTTCCAGAACGACAACCACGTGATAAATTTAAACTTACATACCACGAAAACCGATTCTGTGCGAATTGCGACACTGGCTTCGACTACTGCACTTACGACAATCCAACCTGCAATATAACTACACACCCATCACAGAGTCCCTCGTGAAATATCGGCGGCTCTCGGCCTCCTTTTTTATTTCGTGATGGTAGTTATTATAAAATTTATATAGTTATTTTACGCAATATAAATGATAGAAATTTGTTCTGCGTCCGGGTTTCAATTGTAGAGTTTTTTCATTTTTGTTCCTATAGTTATTTATTTTCTTGTAGCTTTTTTCTCTAGTGTGGGCGAGTCCTTTTCGGAGTGGTCCTCCATTGGTTCTTTAGTTTAGCACACCAGGGTGGGGCTGTCGATTTTGACGGTTTGGCTCACGGTTATTGTAAATTGCTTTTGGCTTACGCATAGTTTGTCCTTGTAATTTGTTCCGTGGCTTTGTTCACGTGGAATCTAAATATAAATATAAAAATAAAAGCAATCTATATATACGGTGAGTAAAGATAAACGTCATAAAGATGAGAGCCATGGTTACACCAAAACAATTGCAGACGTAAGAAATTCAAAACTTTAATTCATTAATATTAATAAAAGTGAATTGATTTAGTTTTACTTAACTCCAGTCTGTAAAATTTGAACCAGGCGAAACCTATTGCGAAAAAAAAATTCTTTCGAAAAATTTATAAATAATTTCATTGAAATATTTTTACAATTGTTAATAATAAATTTAATGTCTATGTATAAGTTAAATTCATAATTCCACAATGGAAATTATTTATTTATGATACTTTGTAATTTTCGAATTAAATTTGCGAGACTATTTATTTCCAACATTAATATTTAAAATTATTATTAGTCTAATTAATGATGTTTGATCATATTCAATACTTAGGAATCCCCGCACTCTTGTACCAGGTTCGCCTATTATATTTCCCAAATGTTAATTTTTTGTCGCCAAATACTTTAATAATTTTTTTCAAACATTTTCGCCAAAAATATATTAAATTGCAAATGATAAAATAATGGGCCATAGCGGAAAGTGAATGAAAGAATGAATGAAAATAAGGCAGAAGGAAATCAAATCTGATTAAAAATAGATATGTTAAAGTAAATTATAAGTTTGAAATTATATTTTTTAGCGCTTTTTTCATTTATACATTTACAAATTTCTTTTTATATTTATTAAAGAGATCGAAAAATATTTTCAATAAAATATTAATTACATATATTGACTTATAAATATCTTATCAAAAATTTTTGTTAAAAATATTAAACTTTTAAATATTAAATCATAATCTGAAAATTAATATTTAATATCAAAGAGTTTTTATAGACCATTTTTTTATTATTCTTAAAATCCTAACTCAATTGCTATAATAATTTTAATTCGGCCATTGCTGCTGAAGAATATTTAGTAATCTTGTTCTTTCACAATTATTTATATCTTCTAATTGTTTGGTTCAATTATCCATAATTTTAAGTGCAAATTATTCTAGTACTAATACATTCTAGAATGCATGAATTTGACTTATTTTTATATTTATTAAATAATTTTGCATAATTTCCTCTTAATTAAGTACTGTCCATTGTAAATATTAAAAGTGGACAATCCTTCCATTTTTTTTAGGAACTCATCCAAAGCTTGCAAAAAGAATTTAAAACTATAAAGAAATCTGATCCTTTAATAATTTTTCCCCATTTTCTAAAATTAATTTCTTCAGTTAATAGTCTTTCCATTTTTCTTATGTCCAATTACTTCAAATCTGAACATTTCCTCATAGGAAGACATATAGAATTTATGCCTTTTGCAAATTCTCTTCCTTCTTTTATAAGTAACGAGGCCTTTTTTCCTATCTTTTATAAGGTTTTTAATTTCAACTAATTTTTTCTCTAAATTATCAATTAATTTGACGACTTCTTCATCACGTGGTTTTTTTGCGGGATCACCCTTTAATCAAAATTCGACCCATAGGGTTCTCTCAAAAGAAGTTAATTCAGATTCAATCTTATCATAACGTTCAGTAATTTCAGCAACATGATCATCATTACAAGTAAGACCATGTATACGTTCAGGTTCTTCAGTTTCATTTTCTGTATCAATCATATAGTAAGTTGGAGGAGAAATTAAACGTGCATAAAAATTTTCTAAATTATTTTTAACGATAACCCGATCAAATTTTGAACCAGCAGAAGTAGGAGAATTTAGAGACGAAGGACTTGAATATGCGGCAATGTGAAGTTTATTTTCGATCAAAGCAACACGTATATTTTGAATTGTTAGTAGTAATTTAGCATGCTTTTGCTTTAAAGCTTTCGCAAGTGCGGAATCATCATTTAAAAGATCACTTTCAAATTCAGTTATTTGAGATTCAACATCTATAACATCACCCATGACCAAATCAGCATCATTATGTTCAATAAGTGTCTTCCTTATTTGAGTTATCTGATTACGCATACTTTCCATTGAACCGAGTAACTTTAATACACAGAATAACGATCAATAGTAATTTGTGATGAAAGTAGTTTAATACAATTATCCAATCTTGTAAGACGAACATTAAGATTTCTTAATTGTTTTTTCATTAAATCAATAACTGTTTGATCTTCATTATCAGTTAAATCTTTTATTGTAGTAATAATTTCATTGGCTTTTTTATCGAGATCAATAATTTTATAAGATTTGATCTTTTTTTGAGATTCTGGATAAATCGATTTATGTCATTTATTTTATCATCAATTATAGATGCAAGATTTTGTTCCTCATCGGTCCATTCGCGTTTATTAATAAAATCAGGTACTTTTATTTGTTTCAATCGATTTAAAGTAACATTGATCGATTTATCAGCATAATTAGCGGCATCGAACCATCTTGCTATACGACGATCGTGAGTTAAAGCTTGTTTTTCGGAAGTGACATTACTTTTTAATTCAGGTACGACATTATTAATAATATTATTAATATGATCGAATAAATCTTTTTGGGGAACGAAATCTTTCATGATAATGAAAACTTATAATTTCTTTAGAATATACATATTGAACCAATTCTTCAACTGCGACAATTTGGCATACCATTATCTAATAAAGATGATGAAATAACCACACCAGTACAGAAATGTCATTAATAATTCGATAACACCACTACCTAAAGGACTAGGATTGTCACCACCACCATCATGTTTCTTTCTAGATATTTTAACACCTTCTAATATTGCTTCAACTTCTTTAATTTCAACTTAAACTTGTTCAACATTTGAAGATAATTCTATTACCCATTTTTATTATATTTCGATTATTTTTGCCTTTTTCTTATGATGAAAAAGTGCCTCCTTAATTAATTTAAGATTGATAGAACGTATATGAAGGGAGAATTTAGAAATTCGATTTTTAAATTTAGTTTATGATAGAATATTATAGCATGATATTATTGTATAGCATAGTTACTTTATTATTGAATAAAGAAATATTTTGTCAACGACTCAACGTGGTGATGACCCACACCACAGGGTTGAGCGTTACAGGTTGACTTTCATATGATGCATTATCATTCGGATAAATAAATTTGCAAATAATAAAGAGAAAAAGACTGTTACATTATTAGCAAAAGCCAAATAAAAATGTTCTTTATAAGTAAAAAAATTTTTTTTTTTAAATAAAATAATGCATATAAAAAAATATATATTTAATATATTTATAATTATATTATACATAACCATTTTTTTTTTAAATTCGATTCCACTCTTGTTATGAAAGAATTTCTTGATTTTAAATTGTGTACAAAAATGTTGTAATATAAAAAAAATAATTATGTTTAAATGTTCAAATTTTAATTACTTCTTTAAATATTGGCGATGTAAAATAAGGCATTGTGACATAAACATTATACTGTATATTATACTTGAATAACTTTATTAGAGAATATCATATAATTAAATACAAATAAGAAATCTCTTTTATACCTTTGAATTCTTTAAACTAAAAATAAATTAATTTAAATAAAATGCTTTTTTTTTGTAAAAAAAAAAAAAATTACATGACGCTCTATCAATTAGATCCTTCTGATTTTTTTGTACTGGTTGCCCTATGAAAAATTTTATTCCGTGATTTCTGTAAGAATTCCGTGAATATGATATGATACATTTACGATGGAATAAAATAACACAGATTCACGGAATAAATTTTTATAGGGTTGAATATTAAACTTGTCAACGAGTCTAGAGAAAAGAAATGTTTAATACTAATATAAAAGAAATATATGTGTGTATTGATATTTTACTCATTTGTCTCATTGATGCAATTAGTTTCAATTCGTTAGAATAACGCTCCTTTCTGTGATACTTTTTTATATTCTTTTGACTTGTTACAATTTAAATATATAACAATCCATTCATAACGACATTGCATTTCGGAAAATGAAAATTTTTGATATTAATAATTACGTCAAATTTTCAAATTTTCGTTGCTTTAAAATAATATGCGTTACCAAATTCTTTGAAACATGTGAATGAATTATAAGCAAAATGTCATAGTTAAGACATTGTAAATGATCTATTTTTTATTTATAAGTATCAGGATTCTACAAGATACAACCCCTATTTAATATATACGTGATATCTAAAAACTAAAATTCTAAACAAATCTTAAGATAAATATTACGTAATATTATTTAGAAACAGATTAATTCGATTTCGATTTCAAACAACCATCTGCTTCACACATCGCATAATTCCACCATGAGAAAATGTAATATTATTAATAGGTATCATAATATTGTTATTGCAAGTATCTTTATTAGTACTCATAAGACATTGATTAATATTAGGAGCTCAATACAATCAGGTTTATTAAAAGATTCTTCATAACATTTTTCTGGAGTTGTATTTTCAATAGTTTCTATAGTATCCAGAGAAGAAAAGGCATGAATTTCGCCAGAAGTTTTAAATCCAGGATTCCCAGGTTGACAACAAGGAATCACAGTTGGAGTTGGAGTTGGAGTTTTACACTTAAATTGATTCAGACATATTTATGCAATATAGAATTCTGCTAATACTGGAGATACAAATATATTTACAGCTACTTTATATAGAAAAATATAATAAAACATAATTACCTACCCTTCTAGTTTGTACCATAATATTTTTCTGTATCTTTGGGAAAAGTATTTAAACAGAAATTATAGTAAAATTCATCTTCTAATTCAACTTTCTATATTTTTAAACTTTTCCTGAAGCACAATGCATTGTTCTAAGTCTCTAAAGACCCTAACCCTTCCCATCACGTTTAAACCAATCACACCATGTAAGAAACTTAAAATACTCAGTTCATTAATCATTCCTCTTGCGTTTTGCGATTGAACTGGAAATTTGATGGGATCCAACAACTTTATTACGATATTGACGAGGGTAACTTTCGGTGGTGGTGGATTTCTTGGTGGAAGGTTTGTAATCGCATCCTTTCCCGGATAAATAACTTCTCTTCCTGGAACTTGTGTAAGAAGCATCTCCAAGAATCTGTTTTCTGCTTCCGTTAATGTCACAAGACCCGGTTCCTTAAAAATTAACAAGCTCGTCAAACATATACATGTACATGAGGTAGAATATAAATTAGTAGATTTACCATTAGATCCCAAGTTAGTAAGCTCATCTTTATAAAACAGCAAGATTTCTTCGTCTATTTCGTACGGTCGTCCTTTCGCTTCCCACTTGGCTACTTCAGTCCAATTAACAGTGGCTTTCGACTCCTCTATCAATCTTTTCAATTCTTCATCTGATTCTTTAGACCACTTAACAGGCACCAATTTTTCTTCTGGTTTGTTAGACATTTTGATGAAGTTCATGATTAATACAGTGAGAGAATTTTTGTGATTTATATGACTTTACGTTACACAAATGACCAGCTTACTTACTCCACATGTATGACGTAATTACGAATAAATCTTTTACAGGAATTATATCTTCTAACAAAAATATTAATTTTTCGTTACTTATAAACTGGCGATTAGGTTTCAATAAAATTTTCTGTATTTAAGGAAAACTTTCAATTATTTTCGCCAGAAGAGATGAGATGGACGTATTTTTGTTGAAAAAGTAAATAAATACCCATTATTATATATCTTCTATGACGGAAGATCATTAATGATTACATCAATCATTAACATATAAGCGTAATTTCAATTGATTCTACAAATAGAATATTAAGACACAAAATTAGTAAGTAAGTACGTTGCCGCAAAAACTTTCATATGTTGATATATTGCACGATAGTACAGCAAAGAATCAGGTAAATAATACTTTGTTGCTTTATTGTTTAATTGTTAATCAATTTTTCGTATCATACTTATACCATTGTTTCTTTAATTTTAGTTTGTTGATCCACTTAGTTTTGATGAGGAATGCTAATTGATTTCTATATACCTTTTTTTGATGCATCATTAGATTTGACAGCAACACAATCATGTAATGATTCATACGAAGGTTGATTATATTTTGATAAAATGGAGGCAGAAAATGAAATGTATAGCTTTTATTAATTTTTCATTAATACAATAAAGCTACTCTCAACTTAATGCGGAACAAGTTTTTACCCTTATATTTTATCAACCCCGATACCACTGAAGATTATAAATCTTCTTCGCTATTCTCAATTGCATTTTTAGAGAGATCATTTGGAAGTTGTTTTGATACTTCATCGTTCTCACTCTATACATACTTTTTTTATAGGCGGTTCAAGTTCCTTACCAAATAATTAACTCTAATAATTTCTCCCAATTCTTTCCTCAGCTTTGATAATTGCATTACACAATTCAGTAAAATTTCCTGGGGCTTTGGGTTGTGATTTTGAAACATTCTCAACAGAACTGGGTAATGTATTCAACTCCTCAATAAGCTTTTCTCAGCATGGTATGGTGCGGCGCATCTATACTCATCAAATGAAAATTGGGTATTTTTAAACTTCAATAACTCATTAAAATTTTATGTTAAACTGAAAAAGTAAACTGATACAATTATAGATTAAAGGATTCTCTTTCATTCTATCGGATTTAATTTCCTCTAACTTTTATAGATTAAAAGTTATTAGCTTTTTAAGTTGGAGTATTTTTTATATAAGTCCTGTCTCTTATACACATCTAGATGTGTATAAGAGACAGATTTNAAATTTCGGAATCAATTTTCCACGTGATTACGATTTGAGCCAATCAGGTAAATCTAATTTAATAAATCACGCAATGATCAATGGGGATGTTACCAAATAAGGCTAAACTATTACTTAATTTGGTAAAGATCGGCCTAAAATAAATTTTTGGACTGTTGATGAGTATAGATGCGCCGCACCATAGAATCCTGCAACGCGTCTTTCGACCCCTCCTTATTTGCTAGACGATTTCTTCGAGCGATTCGATAAATGATTTTTCTGTGCATTATCATTCTTGGAACTTTCAAATTGCTGTTGGCACCGAGCAGAATTACTACTTCCTTTCCACCCACAACTTTTCTTAATAATATTATTTAAAATCTGCAATTATCTTTTTAAGAAATTATATTATTAAGATGATATTATACATAATTATACATAATTAAATTTACCTTTACAATAAGTACTGACAGGTAGTCTAATGGTCAAATCATAAAATATTTTTTAGAACTTTTTGTTTACAGTATTTGTAAATTATTTCAGTAGTCATTTATGAATTTATTATGAATTTTCTTCTTCAGATCATATTAACATTTCTTAATAAAGATGCATATGGAAAATGTTAAGCATATCTAAGTTACAACAAAGTATTTAATTTTACATTTACTTATTCAATTCAGATAGAGGTTATCTTTGTCTCGTAAGCTAATTTTAAATAAATCTTAATAATCTTAACGCCTTCACATTTGATAATTGATTATGTAAAAAATATTTGCACAAAATATGATTTTTTAATTATATTCAATAAAAAATTTTTATTATTAGTTGATTATATATACAAGTTTTCTGGAATAGTAAAATCCATAAAAATAATCATTTATAAGACTTTTCTAGAAACAGGGATAAATATCTACATATATATATATATATTACAAATAATGTACCAACTAATAATAATAAAATAAAAATATTGATCTAACAAAAAAAATTTATTTTCTGGATATCTAGTAAATTGAAAATATTGTGAAGTATATAATTATAATAACTGAAGTAAAGAAAGCAATAAGTATTAAAGAACACCTGATTGCAAGAATTACTAGAACCAATCAAAATGATTTTATGATTTGAAACGTAAATTTATTTTAAGAAATAATTGATAACCGACAATTATTCATATTTTGGTTTTACTTAAGTTTTTTCAATTACATTTCCATCATTATGTTTTACTTTTACATAGGTTCACAAGTGGATCTTCCGTTGCTGATAAACTTACATCATCTTTACGCAATCTTTACAATAATTTAAATCAAACTACTGAAGTGTTGTTCCATACACAGGTAATCTAATAACCAAACCATTTGAATTAAAATTTTTATTCAAAAATCTGGTGATTATTTAGAGAATTTTGGATATGGATTTGGTTATAATAGTCTATTATTAAATTAACAATTTCTTCAATTAATTAATTATAAAATATTGTAAAAATATTAATTTTTTTTTGATTTTAATGAATTTAAGAATCAAAACTATTTATCCGGCGTTCAAAATAATTGAAAATCTTAATCATCTTTCTACCAACGTCGGTCAATTTTCCTAATGTTATATTGATTTGTAAATATAATTATTTAATATAATATTTTATTTCTTTGTTTAATAATAAGAAAAAATTGAAAGAAAAAAAAAAAAAATTTGGGGGAAAGAAAAAGGATAAAGAAAGAAATTGGTTCAAAAAAGGGAAATTTCTGAAAAAAAAAGAAAAAAAATAAGTACCAAAAAAAATTCTGAAAAAAAAGGACAATAATTCGGTCCAAAAAGAGTGAAAAAAAAACTTTTTTAAAAACAAATAACAATACAGTCTGAAAAAAAAGATCGATAAAAAAAATTCGGTTTTAAAAGACCGAAATAATAGGATTATTTAATAAAAAAAAAACAAAAGGGAATGAGAAAAAACAAAATTTTCAGTTTGAAAAAAACTAAACCAAAAGAAGAAAGGGAGAAAAATTTTTTTCGGTTTGAAAAAAAAAAATTAATCAAAAAAAAAAATTTCATTAACTGAAATTGTATTAGTTGATCGAAATGTACACGGATCGTCGGATCGAATAAATAGATCAGGTAGAGGCATGTTATGGGTATTAATTATATGGCATAAGATTTCAAGTTATTCAATTTAAATTATTTTTCGGGACTAATCCAAATGTCAGACAAATTTTTTTAGTTATATAGATTTATCAAAAAATTTATTTAATTAAAAAATTATTAATATTGTTATTAATATAAAAAGTTCTCACTAAATCATAAATTTCACGCAAATTTATTAGTCAGAAACAATATCATTGACTAAAAAAAAATTTCACTAAATATCGAAAAAGCCGTAGGACATAGTTCTAATCTGATTATAGTCTTGACCCAAACCAAAAAAGAATAAACAATATTTTTTGGGTTAAAAAAAAATTAATAAAAAAAGACTAAAAAGGTAGTTTCGGTTTTTACGATAAAAACTGAAAAATAAAAAAAAAATTATTATTGTCTATTTATCGCCGTTTTCAAAATGATGTACGCAGTTAAATTTGAATAAAAAAAAAAGAAAACCGAAAACCGGACGAAAACCGGACGTAATATGGACAAAAAACGGATGAAAACCGGGCGAATATTGGTATTCGAATACTATTCGAATATACAATCACAAATAAACTGCGTACACCATTTTGAAAACGGCAATAATAGAAATGGTTAGTTGTGGTAAAAAAAATTATTTTTTTTTTTGTTAGTAATTAATCCATTAGAATAAATTAAAATTTTAATTAACTATGATGACATGTAAATACGAAATAGATTGGACGTAAGAATATCACACTTTTTATTGTTACACAATTCAAATTATTTATACGGGATAATCTAAATATGACCCAATTTTTTTAGTTGTACAATTATTTTAATTTTTCAAGACTGCCACAAAAAAAAAAATCTTGTAAGTGCGGTTTATACAAATTATTTTAAAAGGTATTTAATTTGATTTAATAGCAAAAGGCTCCAAAATAATTAGATATTATAATCATTTCAGAGCCTGTGACCTTTGGTCGCCAAATAATATTTAAAGATATTCTAATTTTTTCTTATAATAAAACACTAGTAGGTGAAAAGAAATACAAAATATTCATTCATTTATGATGACGATATTAATCTATTTAATTTAGTTTTTAATTTGCAACAAGACTTTTTTGAACCAGTTGAGCAAAATACACAATACGAATTTGAAGAAACAAATGATCTAAACATTAACCTGGGAACAGATGCTGTTAATGCTGAAAAAGAAGAAAAAAAATTTAAATTAATTTTATTAATGGACAATTGGACAATGCAAGATATATTCTTAGTATGAATGATGATAATTCAAATGCTTTAAAATGATAAAAAGTGTAAAATCCAATTGGAACGGAATAAAGAAAATGGTTAATGAAGTAGAATATTATCATAATAAAACAATTTTTCAAGCGACATGGAATAGAAAAATAATGCATCCTGATTATAAATTGTAGATTATTGAATATATATTCAAAAAAAAATTTATGCATATTCATAATGATTTTTTCAATATGTTATTACTTAATGTTTTATTTTATTTTTATTTATATATATATTTTTTGTTATTTAGAAGTGTTTCCCCTCGATTTGCTCCTGATGGTTATGCAGCAAGATGATTATTTGTCAGTCATTGATTTATTTAGCAAACGTACGACAAGGAGATGACCAATTCTTTTCATTTTTGAAAACGAACTCACGCCCATATATTCTGACGCAAATCATTAAGTCACGTAACAGGACTTGCCTAATCTAGTTAATAGTAGATAATATTTTAAATCTATAATGGAAATGATCACCCAGCAGTATCTAAAACAAACGTAATATTTGTCACACAATATGCTAAAATCACATAAAAAATTTTTTTTTTTTCTCCAGGGAAAAAAAAAATGTCTCTCAACGAAGACGTACTTTCTCAAATATTTAAAGAATTAAAAGATGATAAAAATTCTCTCTATTCATGTCTTTTAGTTAACAGACTTTGGTGCGCAATAACTGTACCAATTTTATGGAGAAATCCTAACCATCATTATTATTTTCTCCCTTCATCGTTAATTTATCATACCTTTAATTCCTTTTGTTATTACAGTAAACCGAGAAATTTATTTAATACAATACTTTTACATTTATCGGAAGAATCTAGAGATATTTTGAAGAATCAAGGAATTAATATTGATGAAAAATATAAGCATCCTTTATTTAATTATATTAACTACTGGAAATATTTGAATTTCCTATTTATGAGAGATTTGATTTATGATAGTGGAATTGATAAATCCAAAGTATCTATTATAAAAAATGAGATATTAAAGTTATTCATAAACAAAAATACAAATTTTGTTCATCTTACTATTTTAAATCATTTAACTTGTGTTCCAATATATTTAGATTATCAACCACATCTTATTTCAGGATTTGAATGTTGCTTTTCAAAACTTGAATCTATTCATTGTAATAATTATTTTAATCAGGATATTTTAAAGGAATTAGCGAAAATATGCAAATCAATTAAGGAATTGAAATTCGATATTATTTGCCAAAATACTACTAGTGGAATCATTGAATTAATTGAAGTACAAAAAAACTTAATTGATGTCAATTTCTCCAAATTTGTACGTTTCAATAATCGATTATTTATAAGATATCTTGAAGAATCATTGATTAAGCATGCAGATACTATTCAATGTTTGAAAATTAATCGTATACCTATTTTGAAACTTAAAAAATTTCTTTCATATTTTGTAAGTTTATTAAGGTTAGAAATTGTATTTAACAAATTTTGGGACGATTCAGATAAAGAAAATTTAACATTACCTATTTTAAAAGCTTTAAAAGTTCGACTAGTTTCTCCTAATATTGTGATAAATATAATCGAAAACACAAAGGGACACCTTTCTGAAATTTGTTTAGATTATGATGATTATCATGATAATGGAATTGAAAAAATTATACAAGCAATATATCAAAATTGCTCAAATCTTCAATATCTTAAATTATTATGTGAGATTGGATCACTTATTTCGGAATTGGAAAATTTATTGATTAATTGTCAATTTTTAAATGAATTGGTTATTGACGCACTCAATAATTTTGATATGGATAAATTATTTATATTATTGACTAAATTTTCACCAATTACTTTATTTAAGTTTGAATTTATTGATTATAGGATTAATTCGGATGATATAAAATTATTTTTTGATAATTGGAAAGACAGAAATCCTATGTTACTAAAATTAATGTATCAACGGATTTCTATTAGTAATGAAATAGAGCAGCAATTAGAAGATTTAGTTGAAGAATATAAAGCAAAAGGAATAATTAAAAAATATTTCTTTGGTTGTTATAGCGTATAAAAATAAGTATTCTTTATTATTATGTATAGATAATGTTCTGTAAGAAGAAATTGAATTGATTACAATTGATTTTAAAAATATCTAAACAACAAGAAATTAATGTCAACTGTTGTAAAATTAATTTTATTCATGTATTTGATTGGTGGATTAGATTAAAAATTATTGTCCTAAAATTTTCTTTATATTTAAAATATCAAAGCAATTTTTTGTTTATGAGAATTCACAGAATTCACTCTTCCTTATATTGTATTTCAATATATTCTTTAAATAAATACGTAAAATTTCCTTATAATTACAATATAATTTATTGAAAATAGATATATGTTAAATTAATTCATGAAAAATTTGTTTAATTAAAAATATAGTCGCATTTACCATCATCTGTATAAATAGATACACAGAGATATTGATTAATAAATCGTAAATTGATTTATTTTACAATTGAATCACTTTAAATATTAACTAAATCCTAATTGTTAAAGTAATATTTGGATTACCCCATATCATAATATAAGCAGGTAAAGTATTATTTATGTCAATATCACTAATCCGTGTTTATAAATTTTGTCTAAAAATATATTGCAATACATACTTTAATGTTTCACGTATTGTCGTTTCAGAAATCAGTCCATTTGCATAATAATCTTAAAGAATATCTATCACCAAAAGTATAATTTTTCATATTAAATAAATCACAAAAAATTGTATGATGTATAACATAAATATATTATGTTGTGATGCTTTTCATTTCATTGACAGTTATTACAATTTTATTAGCTTATATTTTTAATCATTATAAAGTAGTTAACTTTTTAATTAAACTTGTAAGGAATCAGCTATTTTAGCAATTTCTTAATGGTAATAAATATTACATAGCATAATGAAAAGAATATATAAAAAATATATATATATATTTTTTTGTACATGACATAATCACCATAACTTTATTAAACAGTCCATAAAATAAAACCTAACTAGACATAGGACGTCATGCTTCTAAAGCATCAAAAAGTTTACATAACGGACCAATGAGTTTTTTTGGTCGTCCGGAAATAAATCTTACCTCAATCATTCCTTGGTGTCTTTTATAGATTTTCATCGCTGATTCCATACAATATTTTAAACTCTTCAAATAACATTTTGACCTTCTTTAAAATCTTCTCTAAATCTTTAATGTAAGGGTATTACAAGTAAAACTTCTAATTTGTTAAATGTATTGCTTCCTAGTTTATTTTTTAGCTTCTTATTGAATACTCCTATCCAATCCCTGTATTCATCATAATGTGCTACCGATAACACAATAAAATGTTTGATCAAAAATCCCTGTAAAAAAAGTCTATCCGTTTTTTTTATTCCATCTTTTTCCGCAAAAGGCTCATATTTCCGGAATTAATAACTTTATATCATGAAAGGCTCATTTTTACAGAGTTTTTACAGAAATAACGGACAAAATTTTTTATAGGGAATGGTTTGGCACGGATAGTCATGATACATTTCAGGTATCAATCTATATCTGATATGTGTCAGCTATCAATTGATGACGTATAAAAGACTTTAGTCATAATATTCCAGTATAAAGTAACTTTATGTCAAAGTAAATTATAATATATAGTTCAATTTATAATAAATGTAAATTAGACTTATACATCTAATAGTAGACTATTTTATTTGAGTATATAGTATTTAGTTATGGTACTATATTATATGATAGGTAAGGTACGATTGATAAGATATAGGTACGATACAAAATTATGCTAATCATACTGATCATACTGATATACAATGGAAAATTTCAAACCTCTAGGTATTGTTAATCAAATAATACCTGTACTCTTAGCTCTTATTCGATTTGTGAAACATTTCTGCAGATGTAGTACCAAAAATGATTAGATTTCTTAAATCTCGATAATGATTTTGCTGATTTAAACTTTTTCTTCTTCGTCCTTAATTTTTTCCCAACTTATTAACTTTATTATTTTTTATCATTTTTTCTAAATTTTTAATAAAATGACTACACCATATGAATATATAAATTTAGATGAATTTGATGAGCCATTAAACTTTGATCCATTTGTAAGTTTAATTAATATTAAATTATCATTATATAAAAAAATTGTAATAGATGTAAATAATAAATACATTTTATTTAGACATCAGAAACTAACTTAGATGCAGAAGATGATACAGAATCTGAAATAGCAGTATTTACAAGGGATACTAAAATCAAAGATGTTGGACACTCTTTAGTTCCAATTGAATATCCAAAACATCAGAAGAAGGAGTTGCGTATATAAGGGATTCTTGGAGTGGTATATGATTTTTATCAAAATACTCAAGAAATAAAGAATTATATCCAAAAAATTAGTAAGTAAAAATGTTATTAATATATATATTATTTACTTTACACATAATATAAAATAATTTAATATATATTTTTAGGCTTTTTTAATAATGGTCATATAATGATTTTATGTATGACTAATGAACAAGCAGCAAAATGCATTGAATTTAAATAGTCGAAGTTGATCTTTCATTTAAACGTGTTTATGGTGACATTAATGAATTCGAGTTTAATACATATGAAGAAAAATCTAGGACTAGTAAGTTAACTTTTAATTTTTCAATTTGATTTATTAATAATTCTTAATTAATTTAAATGCATTCTTTATAGTTTTAACATTTTGTAGAATTTTTACTAATATTGCAACTAAAGAGGCAAATAAATTATCTAATAAGCCTTCCCATTTTCGGCATATACATGGCGATGGTTGGGTTTGTGTTTTAGCTGATTTAGATCAAGCCCAAGCCCTTGGATTAGGAAAGGCTATGAAAAAGATGGATCCTAGTCATCCTACACGAAAGCTAAAGAACATTTACAATATGTATTTAAATCATGTCGTATCCATTATAAAAGGTAAGATTTTTATATTTTTTAAATTAATAATAAAACTTTTGCTAATAATTTTATAATTTTATAGAAATGTTGACCATTACCCTTATTGTGCAGATACAAAACATGATATGCTTGAAATTCTTAAAGCAAATTCTTCTGAAGAAATTAATCAAATATTTGGACAAATTAAAATGCGTAATGAAGATGGTATACAAAGTAAGTATATATTGTTTTGCTTTATTAGATTATTAATCATATTAATTATATTAATTTATGTCAATTTATTTTTTTTAGATTGGCTAGAATATTATCAGAAACCATGGGTTCTGGGTTCATTAACATATCATTATTCCTTAATGTCATATGAAGATTGGCAGACAACACCATTTGATACTAATATTGCTGAAAGTGCTCATGCAATGATTAATCGAACAGGCAAATCATTGAAATTAAAAATTGCAATTCTAAAGTAATTTTTTATTATCTGCATAATTATATAATAAATAATTTAATACCTATTTTATTTTTTATATTTAGAGGATGGAAACATGACGAGTGCATCTATAAAAGAATAAAAATACATCAACAAACAGGCATTCTTATGTCTAGTAAAGATAAAAGTGACTTTGGTAAAATAGAGTTTGGAATCGATTAAGGTTAATCGATTAATTAATCGACTAAGACGGTTAATCGATTAAGGTATCTCAAAAATTGGTTAATCGATTAAAATTATCAACCCATAATTCTGGTCAAATTATCTAATGCGGCCCAGAGCTGTGAATTTTTGGTCACGTGTTCTCCGAACTTGAAAGAATTTGTATTAATTTTTTAATGATAATAATAATAAATAAGACTTTCCTATAACTAAATGTATGATCAAAAACAATTTGGTGCAATCTGCGGTCAAAAAAAAAATTTTTTTAATATTTTAATATTAATCGATTATTAATCGATTAGGGCCCTTGGTTAATCGATTATTAATCGATTAAGGGTTTTTTGGTCGGTTCCAACCTCTATGGTAAAAAAATGCAAGCTAATAAAAGATCAGGTAAAGTAATAAACCTTATGATTTGATTGCTATTTATGATGGGTATTATCATGTTTTAATGTTATAAAAAAAAATAGTTAGAAAACTATCCAAAAGAGCAACCAGTAAAGGAAAGCAACGCGCTTCAAAAAAGGCAAAGATTGATTATGATGATGACGACACTGAAATGGAAATTGAAGAGTGCAAGATCGCATTAGAAGAGAGGAAAATGCAATTCAAACAGAATGAAATTGATCTAAAATTAAAAGAGTTGCAGATTAAAAAGTTGGAAATGGAATTAAATAATAATCAATGAAATATGCTATTATTACTATGCTAAAAATTTGTATAAGATTTGATATGTATAATATAATATGTAGAGCTTTTTTTAAAAAAAAAATATTTCAAATTTCAATATGCTACAGTTGAAGAATGATAATTATTAAAATCAAAATAGTTAATGTAACAATATATTGTAAAATAAATGTAAATAAAATAATTAATACATAAATTAGCAACTGTTTATACAAATCGAAATCTTTTTTATTAGTTTTTACATAGATTTTAATTTCATTTTTCCTTTTAGACTTTTCAACATGTTTATTTTTTGGCAAGATTTATTGTATTACTGCGGTTTACAATATTTACAATACAGGTACGATATTTGTATGGCAGATTGTACCGTACCTGTAACTTTGGTTGTATTAATATTATACAACCAAAGGTGTAAGTACAGTATGATGCACAAATGGATCTTCATACCGGTAAAAAAATGATCATACTGTAACAGAGTCAATCGATGATACCGTAACTATTTAAATAATACCGATTTTATTTGCATCAATGTGTCAGCCCATTTCATAATGTCTATTTTTTTGGTAGAAATGAGTCAATTTTTTTTCATAGTCATCTATCATATTAACTATAATTGTGACTAATTGCCTTGTTATTATTTGATTTAATGTATCAGTTTAATTACTAAATAAGTTTTGATGACTTGAATTGACTCATTGATGTGTCAAAAGTTCATTTATTACTGATACAGTTATACAATTTACTTATTGCATAAATATGTCAATCCAAGTCATACAGCCTACAAAAAAATCTTTTTTTATTATATATATAGTATATCTTCCTTTCTATTTAATTTTTTTTGAAATTAATTAAATTCTACAAATACAGTATATATTCTATTCTTTTTTTTGAAATTAATTAAATTCTACAAATACAGTATATATTCTATTCTTTTTTTTGAAATTTAATTCTACAAATATATATTGAAATTAATCAATTCTAAAAATATATATTCTATTTTATTTTTTTGAAATTAATCAAGTGGAAAGGTTAGACCTGATTAAAGTCTTAAAAGAAAAGGTGTGTTTTTAATTTTTATTTTGCAAAGTAGGGTAACTCCTAAGCGAGTGGGAATTCCTGGTTTGATTGAGATAATTATCATGTTGATAACCCTGGTAACCAACAGCAAGTTGAGGAACTTTTGGACTGATTATATTGACATTTATTTGACAACCTTATTAGCAAGCTGAGGAATTTCTGAGTTAATTTACTATGTTGGACAACTTTAATAGTTAGCTGAGGAATTTCCTGTTTGATTTAGGAGAATTACTGCATTGGCACACTTGGTCACCAAGCCAAGCTCTCAATTCAGGCGCCCTACTTTGTTGTTGATAAAGTCTGCTAATTCTGGAGGAGGAATTGGCTATGTACCTTCTTTAATCACTAAATAAAAATTTTGACACACTACTAATAACCTTTTTCTTATAACAGATAATTACAGAACATTTGCATTACATATATAAAAGTGGTGTATGGAGGTAATTCAAATATTATCATGACACAATATCACAATGTTTATGAATTTTGTCTAAAAATATATTGCATAAGTATTATCTTGATTGTTGTAAATGCTTACTAGAAAATTTGATGGGAATATTTTGTGTAATTATACTCCTAACATTATAGAAAAATCCTACTTGGAATTCCCTAAAGCACCCAAAAAAAGTTAAATTTTTAAACATAATTTTTGATGGATCAAAAAATTAAGTTACTTGATTTTTAACTTAATCATATAGGAAGACATTTTTAATCAGTAGACTTTTAGATTTGAATAATTTAAATACAATTGATTCAATTGATAAATAATTCAGAAATACACAATCCTTTTATTAATGAAATACAATATTTACACACAAAATACATCTTATCCCTGATTCAGAAAGATGCTCTTTCAGATATTAAATTCCTTAGATGTAACACTTGTATAAGTATATGATGTTTTTAGATTGGTTAACAGAAATGCAAATCGTGAGAAAATTTACTCGTTTGGTAATTGTGATTGATATGTTTGCTTGTGGTGTTTATATGATGATAGTCATTCTTGTGTATTTTAAGGTGAATTTCATTGGTGTTTGTCTGTTGATCAGCTAACTCAAGGAAGGTAACATTTACTTCTTTTAAAATTTGTAGATCTTGTAACTCAGTCTACGGTCAAAATGGACCTAACATTATTGTCACATGAAATTTCTTTGTTGAATTCACGTGATTTTTCCAATAATATATTTCTTTCTTTACGTGCTGAATGGTATTAAATATGCCTTTTTGTTTTATTTATTTATTTATTGCAAGTTACTATATATTAATGTAGTATGATTAATATTTTTATCTTTTATATTTTTAGTGTTTGTAATCTTTATCTATTATGTCTATTATATTATTAATTAAAAATTATTAGCAGATTTATCCGAATGTAAATATAGTTAAAAGTTATATACTATATTTCAAAAAATTTAAAAAAATTTACTAATACATTTTTAATTTTAGATTTTTCATTATCAAATAAAATAAAAGATAATGAAGTTATTCTTATTAGCAGTAAAACGCTTTTAATTAAGTCTGAAAATGATTTTAATTGTTTGGTGAAAAAATGAATAAAAAGATGGATGAGAAAGTGACGACGTTAAATGTATTGATAGCATTGTTAGGTTCGACAAGGATAATAATAATTAAACAAGGACTATTAATTATTGTAGTTTCTAATGAAATTACATGAACTATATAAAATTTTCTTGCTCAGCAAAATTACGACGATGAATATAAGGAAAGAAAGAACTGATAAAAAGACGAAATATAAAATATATTTAAGGTTTGTTAGATTTTCTGATCTTGGCCTTTTGTGTAGAAGTGGTCTGCGGCAGTATGTAAATTCCTACATCTCATTGGATTATTATAACAAAACAAAGAGTGGAATATTTTAGTTGAATCATTGTTAAATCGTTTAAATGAATTCAATATTCGTTTTTGTATTAAATAAATTTATATTAATAAATTTATCATGTTCTCATTCACGCTATATTGCAATATTCTGTATTTAGATCTTTATTTCAATAAAAAAAAAATATAGAAATTTATTTACAATTAAATAAAATATAATGCTTCAAAACTGCCAATCCTTAAATATCACAGAGAACTTTACTCAATTTTATTAATAACAATTCAGTCAATACGATGTAAAGAATAAAAATTACAACCTTAGACTAACTAAAAAGATACTACCATTGTTATTCCATAACCAGATACTCGGAAATACCCGAGTATACCCGAATTGTAAAACGGGTCGCAGCTCTATCAGCTCTATCAACAGAGAATAATGTTGATTAATTCACGGGATTGCTGATCATTTGTGGCTTTGCATCTATTTTATAAATGGTAAAAGATTTTTTTGAAGCAGTTAATTCTGTTAATCCCGGAGCAGGTAATCCATCCTGTGATAAAAATAGTTTACTGCTTTTATCACGGTTGCGCAATTTTTTTGATTTTTTTTACATGATCGACATCAATTTCAACTATCTCGAAAACGACAAACAAACTAAATTGACTATTTTCACTATTTTCACTATTTTCTAATATTCAAGATTCTTTAGGAGAAAGATCTGAACTTTTCTCATAATATATAAAAGTCGTTAAATAACTTAATATAATCTACTTTTTTAATAAAAACGTTATGAACACAGAAAAAACCATATCGTAGAAATTAGCTGTATAAATTAAGAAATAAAAAATAAAAATATTTTCACTATTTCATTTTTTCCATTTTTTTTTTTTTTTTTTTGTAAAAAAAAAAATCCAAAATATAAAGATCCACAAATTTTATAGTATAATATAAAGTTTACAATATGGATTATAAGTTGTATGAAACCCTCAATCGCCTACCCGGCTTATTCGCCATCGCAGCAACCATGTTTTTTGGGATCATTATAATTGTCATATTTATTGTACGAATTTTTCAATTTCCCCACCTCCGTCAAAAGTATTGGCAGCATGACAATACTCAAAGCATTCCCACAAGGATACTTAAGACGATCATTTTCTTGCTTTTGGCTGCCGGCTTGATAGGAGTCATCTCATACAATGTTTACAAAATGAAAAATGATCCCCCAAAGTTTTTAGTGACTGTAGAAAGGAGTAAAGAACCTCCATCTATACTTATTTGCCAATCCGATGATATAACGTTTAATACGGTCAGATATTATAACAGTTTTAATTCTTTTGTTAATTATCCTAAGCAAAACTTTGATTTAAGCGGTGATTTTAAACTTTTTCAAAGAGAAAGTGATGGTAATTGTACTTTCTTTAATAGTACAATGACAATGGATAATCCTGGAGGATTTTATCTCCTTGGTTTTAGTAAAGTTTTATTAGAGCTCTTTAATGGTATGAGTGGTAGTGCCAGCATCATTAGTATTTACATTGGTGACACAAACAATGAGATGAACTGGAACTTACCCATGCCTCAAGGGAACAAATTTAGTGATGTAGGGTTTCTACTTGCCAGTAGTAGTGGTATTTTCCAATATACAGAAACTTGGCATAAAGCTTTAAATGGAATTAACTATCGAGGTTTCCAAATCACCTCTATAGGAAATTTTCTATTTGACTTAGTTTCTGTTGATGATAACCCTATGCAGTCATCAACATGGATTGGACTCATCGCACCGACAAACGTCATAGCACAGGTTGAAAACCCATCCCTCACACTAGCTGACCTTTTAAGTAATGTCGGTGGTTACCTTTCCATCTGGGCAATTTTCGGCTTTCTCTTTGGTGTTAAAAAGGCAAACCCGTTCGGGTTTGTGTCAGACTTTATATTCATAAATCAGGATAAGGCAAAACTTCGTAAGGAATTAGATAAAATGAAAAATGATAGGAGTTCAAAATTAAGTAATTTAGAAATAGGGGAAGAAGATAATACTATCGAAACGAATAGTCTCTCCAATCAATCTACTGAGCTAAGAAACCTGCTTGCAAAATACTATGTTGATATGGATTTCTACGAACATGCGGTTAAGACACCTGACGTGTAATTATAATAAAATATACATAAAGTATCATAGATAAATTTATCTTCTGGGGAGTGCATTAAATAATTTATTACAAAACCATTTTTATAAAGTTCTTTTTTTGAAATAAAATATATATATTATTGGATGATCATATTATTAAACTAAACTAAATAATACGACAAACTTTAACTGTTTAAAAGTATCACCCACTATCGCCCACAGTTTTTATCTATTGTAATTCTCTCATTTTATTTTTCATGTTTTCGTTTGATTAATATATTCCATATAGATAAATTTAACGTTATGTGTCATCGCACGTGGTTTGTATTGTTATCACCCTGTGCTTAACTTGGATTAGTTGTAACAGAAAATAAACGATCAAAAAGATAGTGGTTTATACGTCTACAATGAGTGGATCCGAAATTTTATACTATAATTTTTATTACTTTCTCACTCGGCTCTGTAATAAATCCAATATTATTATTATTCACAAGCACAAATAAAATATTCTGTCAAATTTTTCTCGAAATAAAAATTTGTAAAACAAAAGGACTATCTAGAAACTATGCAAAACTACTGGTTTCCTTCCTCAATCCTGAAGGACATTTATAGTGAAAAACCCAATGGAGTCGATTTGATCATAGGTCAACTTGTACACCGGTAAATTGGGACAATTTATTTTAATTATTTAGCTTACATAATTATGATCATCCGCCATCTAATCATTAATTGTAAAACTAAAATAATGTAATAAAAAAAATAAACTAAACAATAAAATTTAATGTAATAAAAAAAGCTATCTAATAAACAATATAATAAAAAAATAATAAAATACAATAAAAAAAAAAACTAGCTAATTCTATTGAAATCTATTCACTGGTAATACAAACTGATCAACCAGTTACTGCGACTTCGAACTTTTGGTAATCCAGATCTTTTGCTGCGACAATAATAAAAACTAGGCTATTATTATTTATATCAGAATTCCGATATAAGTATATCTATATAAAATAAGGATTTAACATTTTTCTCGCATATGCGATATATCGCTCCCTACAATTCTCAATATTTTTTTTTTTTTTTTTTTTTTCAACATTTTTGGCACAAATCTTTATGTACCTATTGTCACACTTTTAAAAATCATATAGTATGTGTATTTCTGTCTGCTTACAGTTTTACTTAGTAGTATATCAAAAGGGTTTAGAATACTGTTTTTGATAAAAAAAATTTTTAATTGCTTTCTTGTATCATGTGATATTTTATTTAAAATTCTTTAAATTAAGTTTTTAAAATTCAAAAAGAAGGAACTTTTTTTTCACAATAATCACAATAATATACTATACCATTATTTATTAATAAATTGTACATGCAAAAATTGAAAAATAACTGAAAGATAATATTAGAAGTTTCAATCACAAATAACTACCATATATTAAGTTAAAAAAAATGTTTTTTTATTTAAATATTTAATATGAAATACATTTACTATAAAATATAATTAACAATTAAAAATGTTTAACATTCAAATGATTGATAACAATAATATTCATATTTTAAAGTCCATATTTATCACATTTTCAAAAGATTCACATCTAAAATCTTTAATTACTCCATCATTTTTATATTTATTAACCAACTTTACAAAATTTTCTTCTTCATAAATAAAATTATTACATGTAAGTATAGAAAGTTTAGGTCGACTTCTCCATTTTTCTAAAAATTCTTCCAAGATATCCAAAGAAAATCCCATATCATAAGGAAATCTAATTTCTCTTAAATTAGTTGGTGCTGATCTAATTAATAATTTTAATAATTCTTTTCCATTTTCTAATTTTTCTTTATTACTCACTAAATATTTATCCATATATATAGCAAAACATAATGACTTCATATTTTGACAAATTTTTAATAATTTTTCAAACTCATTATAATGTTGTTTTGATGGTGGAAATACAAGAGACAAATATTCAATTGAAGAACATTTTTCATAAACTTTATGAATAAAATATAGAGTATCATCATAAAAATTTTCAATAATGAAATGATCATCAATTTCATATGATTCTAAAAGGATTTTCTTTATATATCCTCCACTATTTTCAATTATAATAGAGGCTGCTTTTAATTCAATATATTTTATTTCAAGCGTCTCAAGATCATGATAAACGCACGTTTTTAATTGTTCTTCATTAAACTTATTAAAACTAACTCTTAAAGTTTTTAGTTTATGAAATTTTGGGAGTACCTTTTGTGATGTGCGACTAATACATACAAAGTAAATATTTAAATGATTGATAATATTTGCATTTTTTTCCAGAGCTAAAAGAATCTCTTCGTAATGGTCTGGTTCAGGAACATTATTTGAAAATGGTGTAAGTAAATCATCATCTATCCATTCAAAATACTTTAAATTTTTCTGAACTCCAATTAGTTCAGCAATCCCATGATAATCAATTGGGTTTTCATTTAAAATGATGAGTCTCTGGATATATTGACATAGCTGTGCTAATCCATAAAAATATGAATTATCTATTGATGTGTCACATTTTAATTCATAAAGTGATTCAAAACGAAGCTTAGCTTCTGGTAAATAAAATATTTGATGTTTAATGGATTTAATATCCAAATACTTTAAATCTTGAAATTTCTTCATAAAGAGACGATAAAATTCTTGTTGCAAAAGAAATTGATTATAAGCTAAAGATGTTTCAATAAAAGTTATAGTATTCATAGTTTCTGTATTAATACTTTCACAATAAGATAAATAATCAAACAAAAGTGGTTGATATGAAAATGATGGTAATTGAACTCCTAGTTTCGTTAAGGATTCTTTAATATCATCAGATAAATAAGAAGCAATGATTATAAATAAATAACTTTTATAACTATAATTAATATCATAACACCAAGGATTCCTCCATAAAATTGGAATTGCAACTTCACACCAAAGTCTATTTACCATTAGACATGAAAAGAGTGATTTTGAATCATTCTGAAATTCTTCAAATATTAGGAAGAGAATATTTTTATTGAACTTTGACATTTTTTATTATTCAAAAATAATGAAAAAAAGGAATCTTTTATAAAATATTTTTTTAATAAAAAAAAAAAACCTTTAAAAATGATTTTACAAAACAACGAAATTTTTTTTTTTTTAAAAAAAAAAATAATAATAATACTAAATGGCGGAATTAAATTCCGGATAAATTAGATTGTTCTGTATAATTTCGAAACTATGATTGTGCGACTGTGTGATCATTTACGACAGTATGACCATGTAACCAATCAAATAACTAATGTTTCACAATATTACGCCAAATAAAATATTCCCACGAAAGCGAATACAAAAGTGATAAACATTTAAATTTATAAATTTGCCACATTTAAGAGAAATTTGTGATAATTAATACTTGTTATCGTTGGAAAAGATACGTCATCCAGGTCACCTGGTTGACCTGGGTCACCAACAGGTTAGGTCATGCAGGTTGGGTCATACGAGTCAGTCGAGTCTTTACAGTAAAATTCAAAATATACGGACACTCGAGGGTTGTCGATAGCCGGGTTATTCAGGATATAATCTGATATGCTATTACTATTATACTTATGTCACAAAAAAAAATAAATTGTACATACAAAAAAACAATTATAGACTTCGATACATACATAATAAAAATAGATAAAACTTACTTCCGTTATACTATAAGTTGCATATTAATGAAATATAACAGATAATCCTAATCCACAGTACAACATTTTAAAGATCTCAAGGTCACGAAGATAATAAATTCTCGGAGGAAAAATATTAGAATCAATTAAAACATACATCATAACAGATAAGGTTAAACAAATGATTATTCTAGTTCAAAAATATTAATAAATTAAGTGGTTTTGTTATTATGGTAGTTGATTTTTGATGTATAGTATCTTATAAAGAACTGTAGAAGAAATAATATCTAATTACTCATATGATAAGGTTTAACAGTTAAGTTATATATTTAGTAATTTAAATTATATTATTTAAATAATTTATAATTATATGGTATATATGGTATATTGAATTTTTTATATTAAATAAAAATGATATTTATTATATAATAAATAAAATACATTACTATAAAATGATAATTTCTAATAAAAATAAATAAAAATATAAAACTAACAATTAATTTAAATGTTCATGATATTATAACAAAATGTGATTAACTTTGTAAATTCATATCTTAAAATCCCCATTTACTACATTTTCAAAAGATTCACATCTAAAATCTTTAATTACTCCATCATTTTTATATTTATTAATCAATTTTACATAATTTTCTTCTTTATAAATAAATCTACATGTAAGTATGGTAATTGCAGGTCGACCTCTCCAATTTTCAAAAAATTCTTCTAAAACTTCCAAAGAAAATTCAACATCATAAAGAAATCTAATTTCTTTTAAATTAGTTGGTGCTGATCTAATTAATAATTCCAATAATTTTTTTCCATTTTCTAATTTTTCTTCAGTTTCTACATCATATGCATTCATATATATAGCTAATAATAATGATTTCAAATTTTGACAAATTTTTAATAATCTTTCAAATTCATCAAAATGTTGTTTTGATGGTGGAAATGTAAGAGATAAATATTCAATCAAAAGACATTTTTGATAAACTTTACAAATAAAAATAAGAGAATCATCATTAAAATTATCTATATAATCATAAAATTCATCAAGTTCATAAGTTGGTCCTAAAAAAATTTTCTTCAAATGACCTTCGCTATTCTCAATTATAATAGAAGCTGCTTTTAATTCATAATAATTTATTTTAAGAATCTCAAGATCACGATAAACACACATTTTTAATTGTTCTTCACTAAAAGGCCAAAAATCGGTTATCAATGATTTTAGTTTATGAAATTTTGGGAGTACCTTTGGTGATGTACGACTAATAAATATAAAATAAATATTTAAATGATTGATAATATTTGCATTTTTTTCTAAAGCAAGAAGAATCTCTTTGTAAGAATCACGGTCCGGTCCAGGAGCATATATATCATGATCATCCTTCCATTCAAAATAATTTAAATTTTTCTGAACTCCAATTAATTTAGCAACTGAATGATAATCAGTCGGGTCTACATTAATAATAATAAGCCTCTGTATATATTGACATAACTGTGCTAATCCATAAAAATATGAAGAATCTATTGATGTATCACAAGTTAATTCAGAAAGTGATTCAAAACGAATCTTAGCGTCCGGAAAATAAAATATTTGATGTTCAATTGATCTCATATCCAAATACTTTAACTCTGGAAATTTTTTCATAAAGAGGCCATAAAATTCTTGTTGCAAAATAAATTGATTATATGATAACGGTGATCCAATAGAAGTTATAATGTTTATAATAGCTATATTAATACTTCTACAAAAGGATAAATAATCAAACAAAAATTGTTGATATGAAAATGACGGTAATTGAATTCCTTGTCTCGTTAAGGATTCTTTAATATCATCAGATAAATAAGAAGCAATAATTGTAAATAAATAATTTTTATTATGATAGTTAATATCATAGCACCAAGGATTCCTCCATAAAACAGGAATCACAGTTTCACACCAAAGTCTATTAACCATTAGACATGAAAAGAGGGATTTTGAGTCATCTCGTAATTCTTCGAATAATAAGAATAGAATATCTTTATTGAGTTTTGACATTCTTTATCCAAAAATAATGAAAAATAAGTAAAATATTTTTTAAGAAGGAAACTTTAGAATAATTTTATAATAAAAATGACGAAATTTTTTTTTTTTTTTTTAGGAAAAAAAAAGAATTAATAATAAACGGCGGAATTAATTCCCGGTCAAATTAGATTGTTTTGTGTGACCGTGCGACTGTATGACCGTGCGACCGTGTGATGACGATCAATATAACTAATGTTTCACAATTATCACGCAAAATAACGGGGGTCTTACAATCCCATGTAAAGATGTTTATCCGGTGAATTTTTAGTGATGAGCATTACTTTCTAATAAAATACTTTTTGTGACGTTATTGAAGATGTGCTTAGTATTTATTTTATGTTTTAAGTCCATTACGGTAAGTTCGAATCTAAATTCTTCGATCAAGCAATTATTTTTATTAAATTTTGTTATAATCGTAAGTATGAAAAGTGGAGGTTTACCTAAGAATGAATATACATATATTCTTAAGCATTAGGAGAATATTCAGTACGTTACTATTTTGAAACCCAGCAAGCTATCGAATACGATCTGCATCAAGGCAAATAGCACCAGTATCAGTATGATCAACTGTACCATAATGATTTGCAAAATCGTGTCGCGCTGAATATCCTCCTATTTGAATCTAATTAATTTCTTTAGTGGCTTGTTATGGTGAAATGTAACAAATAGATATTTCAAAAAAAAAAAATCAATCAGCATGGTAAATTGGCTAGAAATACATTTATTAGGGGACTTTGTCCCCTCTTATGACTATACATATATACTTGTGAATTTCTTTTGAGATATTTGTCCATCACTTAGAGAAAAAAACGTGTAGAAAAATAATCTGTCATGCGGGAAGAACTTTTTTTTAGATTTATACTAGCAAATTTTATTATCATATGTAATAATATTATTAATAATTTTAATTACAAATTTTTAAAATCATCTTTATCATAGTTAAAGTTTAATATCGTGAATAAATTGTAATAAATTGTAATAAGATTAGAGAACGCTCGATAATTTAAAAGCATTGTTTATTAATATTTATTGATTTTTTTTCTTGTCTTTTCTTTTTTTTTTTTGAAGAATTAAATCTTTTGAATACTCGAATCTAAACTTTAGCTAGTAAATTTGTACTACCATCGAATATTAATCTTTTTTTTCTTAGTATAATAGAACAACGCTAAAAAAATTTGAATAATGTAAATAGTATATTAATACATTAAAAGTTTATTACAATACTGTATATTTACTAATACCGTAACTTAAAATTTATCAGATAACAATTATGAGCCAAGAAATTTTATATTTGAAATCTTATTATTCTAATCTTAGTGTTGAAGATAATTTTTCGGTATCTAAATGTTTTGAAAAATTTTTTTATCATTTGCATCAAGTAATTCCGATTGAATATTAGGATTATCGTGATTTTCATAAAAAATGTTTCGTTACTTGTTATGTGAATTGTTTTGCATCTTAAGATCATAATTTTATTTTGTTTACTAATTTAATCCTAACTATCTTATAAGTTTCTTAATAATTTTAACGTAAAATTAAATAACAAGAGGTTATTGTAAAAAAATTTGACAATCTAACTTATTTATTATAAATAGAATAAATTTTTTGACATAGAACGTGTGTACAATATTTTATTGTCATACTTTCATGAGATTAAAGATGACATGTTGATAAAAGCTTGATTATTCTTTCAACTTGTTTTAATAAATTCATGTATAACGAATGGAATAATCTGTCATAATTTACGTCAAGGCTAAATTTTCGCCCAAATCAAAATACGGTATTTATACATATAATTTGAATAAATTTATTAAAATTATTTAAATTACAAACTAAGAATTTTGTAAAACATTTACTACTCTAGTCTTAGTGTTTAAATAATCCATGATAAATAAATAAATAAATAAATAAATGATAACAATTTAAAATATAAAAAAAACATTGTTAAATGATTATTCAAAATCCATCTAAAGATAAAAAATAACAAATTATAGATTATTTATTTGCTTTTGTAAAGAAATTCATTTTTTACTTTATTTTAAGAGCTTACCATCAGGAATTTCCAATTCATCTTGTTCATTTGAATGAAGGTTTGGATTATTATATAAATCGTCATCATCTGTAAGAGAAAAAAAATTAAAACAGTATTAAAAATCGTTCGTAATTACGTAAAATATTCACCTACCATCGACATATTTTTGAGTTTTTTCTTTTTTGTCATCTAAATTTTAAATAAAAGTCACGTTTAATAAATGAAATTGATATATATGGTAACTTTATTTGTTAGTAATTTACTTACTATTAGACTTTATTTGCAACTTTTTAAATAATTTAGATAATTTTTTATTACTATCTAAATATTAAGATATAGATTTAATATATAAATCAATCTCGATTCATCAATAATTAAAATATATTACCTCTAAAAATAGTAATTACTTTTGATGATTTGCTACTATTCTGCTCATTCGATTTATTAAAGTCGTTAACTAAAATAAAAATTAATTATTAAACATCATTATATGATAATTCAACGCTATAATGTTATTAAATACTTACTATTGTTAGGAATGTTAAAATCATACGATTTACTATGAAACACTATTAGTAGTAAAATAAACTAAATTATTATAGTAAATCAAAAAATGGTAGAAATCATTATTTGTACGGTTATACCTTCTTGTTCTTCTATTATAATAAAAAAAAATAACATTAATAATGTATTTTAAAATAAATATATTCATTAATAAAATATATACACTTGTACCTTCTGTAGCATTTCTTGGTTCATGTAGATTTCCAAAGTTATGAATTTTACTTGTAAATAATCTGCTACTCGTATAATTTTCTTCTACTTTATTCATTTCTAAATTATCCATTTCTGATTTGAATAATTCATCTGACATATTTTGATAATATAAATTAATTTTTTCTATTTTTTTACAAAGTGTATAAGCGTCAGGTCTTTTTAATGGATCAGCATCCCAACATTCTTTCATTAAATTTTTATATTCTAATGGAGTTCCTGGCACAATTTTTGGTCTTATACCGTTAATAATATTCATTACAATATCATTTTCATGTTCATAATTTACAAATGGTGGTTGTCCAGATGAAATTTCCCACATAAGAATTGCAATACTATAAATATCAGATGCAAAAGTATATTCTCTTCCAACAATAACTTCGGGTGCTATGTAAGGAAGATTTCCATATATACTTTCTGATGGTTTATCAGCAGGTCCACAAAATCCAAGATCACTGACACGCCAGGAATTATTAAGTTGAGAATATAATATATTTCCAGAATGCAAATCTCTATGAATTGCTTTCTCTTTATGAATAAAATAAAGTGCACAAATTATTTCATTAATAATTATCATTCTATCTTTCCATGTAAGTTGTTTATGATTTTGTTGTAAATATTTTCTTAAATCTACACTCATTTCATTCATTACAAGCATATAATTTCCATTTGATGGATTTTGCGTTAAACCAAAACATTGAATAACTCTCGGCCATTTATTACTTATTGTTAAATGTGATTTAGCCTAAAAGATAATAATTTGTAAAGATACAAGTGTTAATACAAAAAATTACAACAATTTTATAAAATATAGAATACAATAATACAAACCTCTTCAAACCAACTTTGATTTGCACTTTCAACATTTTCTAATTTTTTAAGCACTATAGCACGATTTCCAAGTCTCGTTAATTGTTTTTTTTCAGAATCCCATTCATCATAATGTCCATCAATCCAACCTGCTGTATAAATTTCAGAAAATCCACCTTTTGTTAAATATTTAATATCTTCTAAATTACTATATGGGATCCATTCAACAAACATATATGGAATAAGTGATTCCATTTGACATTTCTGTATTAAATTATCAATATCATCATTTCCAGATGTCCAATTTGAAAAATCTTCTTTTAAATAATTTCGAACACAATATTCACAATATAATGTGGCTAAACATTCTTGCTTACAATTTTCACAAACTCTTTTTGTTCCTGAATTATAGCTAACTTTATCTCGATCATAACTTTTAGTTAACCATCTTATTGCATAAGTTTTTTCATCATTTGTAAGAATTTTATCGGCAAAGACTGTTTGCTTTTGAAATTGTTTGTGTATATCATTGTAAATACTAGTATCTGTTAATGTCATTGCTCTATTAATTGTTGCATGAATTAATTCATATCGAAGAGTGGACATAATGAATGAATTATTTTAAGTTCGGTTCACTTGAATTCCGTGATAAATTAGTAAAATGCAAATTGATGATCAAAACTTCATGTTGTGCCCACATAACTTGAGGCGTAATATTTTACGCCTCGTAACCAAAAAAAGAAAACCATTTAACTATTTCAATTTTATTTAGTATGATAATTTAAATTATTTTTTTTTTTTCCAATACAATTTATGTTTAACAAATTTGATTGTCAAACTTAATATTGAATAGATAGTATTCTTGATTATATTATTAATTTTCAAATAATTTGATAAACAAAAATCAATGATTGTTATTCAATAAATTATTAATTTGTAATAATTTGCAGTTATTTTTAAATCTCACTTAAAAATCAATGTAAATATGATTGATGAAAAGCCAATTTTCTTTAGTCATTTTCAGTTGAATTTATTTTAAATAAACAACGTGGTTAATAATGAAAATGAAAAATTATAGAAACTATTCAATTTATTATTTCTAAGAGAAGCATTTTGTAGAATTATAATTATTTTCTTTATTACTTTCTTTTTTAAGGATCGCAAATATTGAATAAAATATATGGTTTAAAAAAAAAATGGAATTGAATAAATGAAAGAAATTATTACGTCATAATGTACTTAAAACAATTTAGTGTAATATTAAATAATCATGGGTTTCGTGTTACACAATTCAAATTATTTATTTATATGGAGACTATTTTAAACGTTAAAAGATTTTTTTTTTAGTTAATAAAATAACAGATAGGGTTATGACTCAATTTAAGATATTTATTTTTTAAATGTCAATCTAAAATCTTTTTATTTAATAAAATTCATTTTAAAAAATCTTTGATATAGATTTTTGTTTGAGAAAACTAATATGAGAAATTTTTTGAGGAATTTCTGCATCAAGTAATTGATGCATTCAGAAAAATTTATAAGATTAATTTATTGTTGAAAAAGGTGTTTAATTGAAAAATCTTAAAATATTATTAATTTTTGGTGAAACAGAAATGTGAATTGTAAAATTGGAGTTGGAAATTTTTTTTATAGGGGAACTCTTTCCGCTGATCATCATGTCCAAAAATTTTAGGATGTAACAAAAGAAGAATTCAAAAAAGTATGTAGAGTTTACATTTTTAACGCATTTCGACATCACGAACTGTTTTGTAGATATAAAATTTTCACGTTAGTAAATAGTAATTTGAAATCTTTTTTCCAAAAAGTTATCTCAGCTCGTATGCGTTGCCAAAAGTGTAGACTCAAAAAAGTGTCAAGGAGGGCTAGGTGTCAGTGCTTAAGAGGAAGAAGTAACAGAGGTTTAGGACTACAAAAAAGACGACTATGAGCTTTATTTTGAGGATTTTTTCGGTCTTTTGGAATTTTCGTTGCCTTGTTTTTTTCGATCGGCGCAGTAAAAATTCAGCACGCGGTTGGATGATATTGTGGTACACAATTTGGCAAAAAAATTTCCGGAATCTGATGACAAATGACCGCAGCAATCGTCACGTAAAGATTTAAATTGTAGGCTTAACACTGTAGCTACGGCAGATCGTTATTCTTATGGTGGTCTGAATTTAATTTTCGAGGGAGTTAGGCTAACGTCCTTGGAAAAAGATGATTTCATGTAAAAAATGTTCAAAAGTAAATAAATATAAAGTCTCTTTTAGTTTAATTAGAGGATTATGATTGTGGAAATTGAAACCAAATATACAACCTGTGGAAAATTAATTGGAATTGAATCCAGTAAAGGGATATTAGATGCGTGGACGAGAGAAGAATCTTCGCCCAATTTCGATTACGCTTTCATAGAGGATTTAGATTTCGGAAAGTTTTCTACCCTCAGTTTTTTTTCTTAGGATTAATGGATTCTTGTACGATGTTCGGAACTGCTGTCTGATGGTACTTGCCCCATAGTATGTCTGGAGAGTGGAGACTGTTTAGGGTCTACTAATGGTTCAAGGAATTGTGGATTTAAAGAATTGGTAAGTTTAACGTTGAAAAAAAGAATTATTACTCTATAACAAATGCATAGCATAGGAAGTAGGGTTGATTAGTCCAGTCTGGCCTGGACCCAAAAATACCGGTCTTTCAGCCAGGACCGGACCGGTCCGGTCTTTTGACCGGTCCTTAAAATTTTTTAAATTATTTATAATAGCGGTATTGTTGGGTTGATAATGAAATGCAGGTCGCACTAAAAATTATGACATTAATTTATTATTTATTACCAGTTACCTTTGTTGTCATTGTAAACTAAGTATGACCCAAATATATAAAATCTTAAAGTTTAAGAGTAAAAATACTAGATATAATTTTAAAGCCTTATACGACTATCAAAAATATGAAAGAATGGGAATAAAAATAAATTATAATTGATGCTGATCAAGTAACACAAAATAATTGTATATCGTACTTTAACATTTTAAAGCATCAATGAGAAATCAAATGATATTGATATTACAAAATACCAAAATATGAAAATTTTGATATTTCGAAATTGAAAACTTTATTAATAATATATAATTTAACATTCTTATATTAAATGATAAATTTTGTATAATCGGTCCCAGTCCGGACCGGTCCTCAAATCTCGGACTGAAGACCATGAAGACCGGTCCCAAAACCGATACAGGACCGGTCTTTGCTGGGACCAAACCTAATAGGAAGCAGAGGTCTGACACGTTGAAGTTCGTGGTTGTGCGCTAGTTGATGTGTACATCGATGATGCTATGAGTATCTTTCGTTGAGGAATACGAAAATTGGCGCAAACAAACTTTTTTTTCTTTTCTTTTTTCTCTTCAATGTTTTGTAGTTGTTTTTGTTTTCGCTTATTAGATAAATGATTAGTTATAAGGGCAGGTACTTATTTCTCTATGTATTTCTTGATGTAATTATGGTTCTTGTATAATGTTAGGCAAATAATTAATAAATCTAATTATTAAAAAAAAAAATTCATGTCAGTAAATGCAGAGATTTGTGTCAACCCTATGTCAGTAAGCTTGAAATTAAAGTCAAACATTATATTAGTAAATGTCTGAAGCGAGCCATGCAATGTCCGTCTGTCATGCTGCGTTGGGGTGATCGGTCAACTATGTAAATCAAAACTATCAGGTAGCTTAATTAAACTATTAATAGAAGAATTTTTTAAATACTTAATAAAGTCTCTTTTACATAGTGTTAACGTCAGTTCTTTAGTTGCTTAAAAAAATTAAGCAGTAAATTTAATTAAAAATGTATTAAGCAGAAGGATCGGAGAGGTCAGTAATTAAGATGATTAACATAAATCTTATACAAAACAATCAATTCTAACAAATCCGACCAGGTGCAAATAAAGTATAGCTTCTCAATTAGCCTATACGATCAGACGCAAATGAAGGATTTACAAACAATCAAAAATAAACAATAAGAAATAAGAAATAAAGTGTATAAGACATAATTCAAGGACAAGGTGTATATTTAGAATATAGACTTTATTATCATCATTAAACTTTAGGATTTTTGACCCTTAATACATGGCATGAGTGCGCGCCTTTATTCAACCTTGCGAATATATTTATAATAAAATTTACACTAATAACAATATATTGAATATATGCTATATATGTACTATATAAAATATATAAATATATATATTATATGAAATGTATAAACTGTATGAAATTTATGAAACTATATGAAATATATAAACTACATGAATCATATTTAATATATTGCATTTATCCACTATCATAGATCGACATCATGTGATCATGAACTTATTCTTGCGTAACAATAGACAACAATAAAAGAATAGTTCGCGAATTTTTAGACGTCTAGAGTGAACTTTCTTATTATTTATTATCTTATTATTTATTACTTTTTTTTTATAAATATCCATTCTCATACATATCTCTGACAAAGTTACGTTGGTTATTTTTGTATTATTATTCATCTTTAAAATCAATGCCCTGTAAAACCTCTATCTATACTAATATTGAGTAAAAAGAAGGTTATTTTTTCATTAATTGGTAAGATATTTCAAATTTAGAAACGTAACTCTGTTATTCGGGAATTAAATTAACTTTAAAATGTTTTGGTCGCAAAACGAGTTAGAATTAAGGCTAGATATCTAAATTTAGCATGAAGATTTACACGAAAGTATCAAGCTTGGAAAGCAGCCAAAAATAGTCTAGAAAAATGACCATAATAATACTATCAGGGAAATATCAAGTCAATTAATTACCCATGTATGGCAGGGGAAGTTGTTGCGTCAAACCTTTTTAATTGTATCATAGGCAATAATAAAATAGTGATTATATTATTACTTTTAGTTATAGTATTAATGTTATAAAATTGTATTAGGAAAATATAATGGGATCGATACTACTGCATTAGGAATATATAATGGAATCAACACAAAAAAAATCTTAAAATAGTTTTTAAAAATAGATTAATTTAAAGAAATCGGGTTTACATAATTTTTAAGAAACTAATATTTTTATGATTTTTTAAGTAAAATTTTTTTTTTTTTATAAATAAAAATTCGAAAATAAGTAAATAAACCATTACTTTTAAAGTGTCAGTCTATCTATAAATTGTACATTCAAAAAAAAAAATTGATGAAAACCCCCCTGTAAAAAATCTGATCCGTGTTTTATCTTTCCATGTTTTTTCCGTAAATGTATCATTTTCATGGAATTAATAACCTTAAATCATGGAAATTTTCATCTCGCTAACACGGATATCCGTGAATGTATCATTTTCACGGAATTTTTACGGAAGACACGGAGAAATAATGGAAATATTCGGATAAAAATTTTTTATAGGGCCCATAATAAACAATTCGACAAATCAATCAAAATAGCAAAAATAAAATGAACAGATGACAAACCTATCAACACTTCATAAACGTAAGTCCAGAGAAAATGAAACCGTTGAACATCGTGATACGCCATTAAAAAGATCGAGAAAATAAACGAATGAAAAGTTCATCAGAAACACCAGATTAGCGTGATGCACGACTGAGAAGAGAACGTGAATGAAAGTGTAGTAAAAGAATGAGGGGTGTTTCAAAAAATGATAATGACCACATCAATAGACAGAATGAAAACCAGAATCAGGATGCTATCAACCCGCAGCTTTCCGAAACTGATCGAGAACTTCTGTATAAGTTTCGAACAGAGATGAATAAACTTAAGGTTAATCTCTATGATTCCTCAAAATTTGGCCATATAATACCAAATTGTCAACTAGTATTTCTGGGTAAAATAAAAATTGTGTTACGTTACGATATAAAATAAAAATAAATAGAAACTTTTTTTATCGATTATTTAACTATACATTTTTTAGGGAAGCAATTTTTTTTTAGTGTTGCATTTTTTAGTAATATATTTTTTTAGATGGTTATTTGAATATAACGCTTCGGACGCTCCAACAGTTCCTACTACTAGTATTTATTGATTTTTTTTTGAAAAAATAAATTTTATTGAATACACGAATCTAAACTTTAGCAAGTAAATTTGTACTATTATCGAAATATTTATCTTGTTTCTTATTATAATAGAAAAATCAAAATCAACGTTAAAAAAATTTGAATAATTTATATTACTAGTAATTACTAATTCATTAAGAGTTTATTACAAAAAAGAATTTATTTGATAACAAATTATAAGCTAAGAAATTTATATATGAAATCTTATTATTCTAATCTTAATGAAAAAATTCTGATCTAATATTAGGATTATAACTGAAGATCATAATTTTATTTTATTTGTGATCTTAACTATCTTATAAGTTTCTAATAGTTTTAACGTAAAATTAAAATAACAAGAGGTAATTTGACAATCTAACCTATTTATTATAAACTAGAAGAAAAAAATCACGAGATTTAAGTCTTAAAGTCATTAAATTTATTACTGATAATTTATAATTCATTAACGGATCAATCTATTTTCAAAGTTAAACATAGAATGAATTATTTTAAATATGTTTTTTCAAATAGTTTGATCGAAAAAATTTCACTAAAATACCTTCTATCTTCAAAGTAAAAATAAATTGTATTTTTATAAGGGAAAATGTATATCTCGCCCCCCTGTTGTATGATGTTAAAATCTCGCTTTCTGTAACAAAAAAAGAAAATTTAATATACAAACTTTTTAAAAAATGTCTACTATGTGTATTTTCCCCTGCTCTGCAAGTTTACTTAAAGCATCAAAGATGGCTTTGAATGTCATTTTTGACTTATTTAACAAAATTTTTTTTTCGGGTCTTTCCCCGTTAAATCACGTGACGTATTTAATTCTGGTCAGAATTAAATGATCGGCATACAAAATATCCTTTTTTGGAATAAAGGCGAGATTTAAACATCACATATGGGTGCGAGATCTAAATTTACCCTTTTTATAAAATAGTTTAGTAAATTATTTTAAATATTTTCAATTGATTTGGTCAAAAAAAATATTCAAAAAAGTAAAATAACATGTTTTTTTTTTATGAAAGATGGGTTGTATTTTTATTTCTAAGAAATTATGACTAAATCTAACTAATTTTTTTAAAAAAAATAAAATATACATACTGTATAACAAACTGTACTAAATCAAAGAATTTTAACAACGACTATGATTTTATCGCTATTATCACGATCGATTAAATTCGTACCAAATCTGTCTGTGGTCGATAGTCCGCCCTAAAATTTCGATCAGTACGACGCGATGTGCCCACCTCGGATACATACGGGGATAACTAGACCGATTAAATAAGCATCATAATTCTGGTAAAAAAAAAACCTTAAATACAAAGGGAAATTTGCATTGGAATCTTTCATATCAGCATACTAACACAAATAAATTTTTATATACAGTACAAAGAACGGAATCTATCATATATTTCATTTTGTTACATTTTTATAATATAAATATAATATTTTATTTAATTGAAAAAAACATTACAATTTAAAGTTCTATTTAATGCTACTCTTATCCTCAATCTAGTCTAGAAAAAAAAAAATTGCTAATGCTGAAAAGCAAAGAAAAAAAAAAAATACACCAAATTCTAAATCATAGTGCTAAAAAAAACTAAGCATTAAATAGAATTTAAATTATAATGCGAAAAATAATACTATTAAAAAATAGCTAAATAATGTAAATAATACGTATAATTATCCTATACTGATTTTTTTCATCCGTTATCACTTACAATTTACCATCTTTGTTATTATTCAATTGAGAAATATCAATCTGTAAAGATTCTATTTAACAAAACAAATTTATTAATATTTATAAATCTCAATATATTCTATAAATATTTAATTGTTACCTGAACATTCCATGCTTATTATGTCATCATTTTGTTCGTAAACAGAATTTTTTTGTTCAGAAAGATTATTATCACTAATGTTCAATCGAGAAACATCATTTCGTTGAGATAATGATACTATTTATAATAAATAATATTTTATTAGCATTCTTTTATAATTATTTTAAATATTTTTTATTAAACAATACCTGCAGTTTCAATGCTAATTATATTATCATTTTGTTTATAATAATCATCAGAATTTTTTGGTTCAGGAAGATTATTAAAATTAAGTAATCTACTTGTATAAGTATCTTCCGAGTGTGTTTTATATGATAATCCTGAACAAGTTGCAAGTTTAATATTATTTGATGAATTATTGTTTACTACATCTGCTTCTTTAATTTGTGCTTGTAATTCTATCGTTTGTTTGTTAGTTGATTTATATTGCCATATGTATAAAATATCTCTAATTTCTTCCGCTTTTGGTCTATTTGATGGATTTGCATCCAAGCATCTTTTAATTAAATGCACAATTAATTGAGGTACTTTAATATTAAACCTTGGTCTAATTCCATTACAAATTTTTATTGCTAAACATTCATCATGTCTCATATCATGATATGGAGGTAATCCAGAAATTACTTCATACATAATTATACCAAAACTATAGATATCTGCAGCTTTTGTATAAATTTTTCCCTGTAAAATTTCAGGAGCTATATAAGTCAAAACACCATATACGTTATTTTTTTGCATATCACAATTTGCAGGTTTACACAATCCCATATCAGTTATAGCAGTTTTATATTGAAACTTTAATATATTGCCAATATGCAAGTCTCGATGAATCAAATCATTTTCATGAATAAATTCAAGTTCAGTTATAATTTCATTTAAGCAAATAATTTTACTTTTCCAATTTAATTTATTGAAATTTTTGTCTAAATATTTTCGTAAACTTCCATCATCTGCATATTCCAAAACCATTACATAATTATTTGTTTCTGGATCTTGAGTTATCCCATAAAATTTGACACTTCCATGATCAAATTCTACTTCATGATGAAATATCAACTAGTACATATAAAAAGCATGAAAAATGATATTAGAAAATTAAAATTATTAAAAATTTTATTAAGTAATAAGTATTCATACCTCATTCATAAAGTCTAATGTAATATTTTTTGAATCATTTAAATTTTTCAGAGCTACAAACATATTTTTATCTTGTCTTTCCCAGTTATTATTATATTTATCCCATTTATGAATATACCCATCAATCCAGTTTGCTTTATATATTTTGCTAAATCCACCTTTTGCAATATATTTAATATTGTAAAATCTATCATAAGGTATCCATTCTAATGCACTTGTAGTATATTTATGGGCTGATAGCTGTGTATCTTGAATAAATCTATCGATATCATTATTACTGCTAGTCCAATTTTTAAAATCTTGTTGATAATGTGTTACATTACATTCATAATTACATTTTTTACAAGTATTATTCAAAATCATCATATAATTCTTTGTTTGTGGTTCCTGAGTTATTCCATAAATTTTATGTATTGTAGTCTACAAATATAGTACATTAGTGAAATCAAATTACTTAAAACTTTACAAATAATAAATTTATTATACCTTACTATTCTCAAATTCTGATACAATAGTTTCTATAATGTTAAAACATTTCAGAATCACATATATATTTTGATCTTTTCTTTCCCAACTTTGATTTTTATAATCCCAATCATATACATATCCATCAATCCAATTTGTTATATACACTCCAATTTTTTCAATATACTTAATATCATTAAATCTATTATATGGAATCCATTCCAATGCCCCTTTTGTGCTATAATGAGCTGAAAGCTGAGTTCCTTGAATAAATTTATCAATATCATCATTACCACTGGTCCAACTTTCGAAATTTTGTTGAAAGTATATTGCATTACATATATAATTACATTTTTTGCATTCATCACTCAAAATAATCATATAATTTTTTGTTTGAGAGTCCTGAGTTATACCATAAATTCTATTAACCTACAAATATAATACATAGCAAACATGAAAAATTATAAATTTTCAAAATTTAATTAAAATAATAAATTTATTATAGTACCTTATTAGTCAATTCTAACTCAATATTTTTTGGATTATTTGAACTTTTCAAATCTACTAAATCTACTGACATATTTTCACCATTTCTCTTCCAATTTTGATTTTTATGATCCCATTCACAAATATATCCATCAATCCAATTTGCTCTATACACTTTTTTTTCTGCAATATATTTAATATCATGAAATTTATCATAAGGTATCCATTCTAATGCTTCCTTTATGCTAAAATGAGTCAATAGCTGAGTGTCTTGAATAAATTTATCAATATCATCATTACCACTTGTCCAACTTTCAAAGTTTTGTTGAAAGTGTATTGCATTACATACATAATTACACCTTTTACATTTATTAATTAGAACCATTATATAATTTTTTGTTTTTGGATCTTGAGTTATTCCATAAAGTCTATTAATCTACAATTATATAATACATAGTAAAAATTAAAAATTTTAAAAATTTAATTAAAAATAGTAAATTTATTTTACCTCATTAGTACTTTCTAAATTAATATTTTTTGGATTATTTAAACTTTTCAAAACTACCAATATGTTTCTATCATGTCTTTTCCAATTTTCACTTCTACTATTCCAATAAATAATACATCCATCAATCCAATTTGCTCTATACACTTTTTTTTCTTCAATATATTTAATATCATGAAATTTATCATAAGGTATCCATTCTAATGCTCCTTGTGTGCTATAATGAGCCATTAGCTGAGTGTCTTGAATAAATTTATCAATATCATCACTACCACTAGTCCAACTTTTAAAATTTCGTTGAAAGTGTATTGCATAACATACACGGTTACATTCTTTACATTTATTATTCAATACCATCATATAATCTTTTGTTTGTGGATTTTGAGTCACTCCATAAACTATATAATCTATTTTAAGCTATAAATATAACATGTTAATAGAAATAGCAAAATTAAAATTTCAAAATTTCAATAATACCTTATTTACAAATTCTAATGTAGCATTTTTTGGGCCATTTAAATATTTCAAATCTACCAACATATTTTGGTTGAATCTTTTCCAATTTTGATTTTCATTATCCCATCCATCAATGTATCCATCAATCCAATTTGCTCTACACACTTTTTTTTCCTCAATATGTTTAATATCACGAAATCTATCATAAGATATCCATTCCAATGCCTCTTCTGACCTATAATGAGCTAATAGCTGAGTGTCTTGAATAAATTTATCAATATAATCATTTACACTAGTCCAGCTTTCAAAGTTTTGTTGAAAGTGTATTGCATTACATACATAATTACATTTTTTACATTTATCATTCAATACCATCATATAATCTTTTGTTTGTGGATCTTGAGTTATTCCATAAAGTCTATTAACCTACAAATATAATACACAGTAAAAATTAAAAAATTTCAAAATTTTAAAATTTAATTAAAATAATAAATTTATTTTACCTCATTAGTACTTTCTAATTTAATATTTTTTGGATTGTTTAGTAAACTTTTCAAAACTACTGACATACTTTTGTTGAATCTTTTCCAATTTTGATTTTCATTATCCCATCCATCAATGTATCCATCAATCCAATTTGCTACACGCACTTTTTTTTCCTCAATATGTTTAATATCACGAAATCTATCATAAGGTATCCATTCTAATGCTTCCTTTATGCTATAATGAGCTGATAGCTGAGTGTCTTGAATAAATTTATCAATGTTATCATTACCACTAGTCCAACTTTCAAAATTTTGTTGAAAGTGTATTGCATAACATATATGCTTACATTTTTTACATTTATCATTCAATACCATCATATAATCTTTTGTTTGTGGATTTTGAGTCATTCCATAAACTATATAATCTATTTTAAGCTATAAAATAACATGTTAGTAAAAATAGCAAAATTAAGATTTCAAAATTCTAATAATACCTTGTTTATAAATTCTAATGTAAACTTTGTCGGATTATTTAAACTTTTAAAAGCTACTAACATATTTTTGTCAGATCTTTTCCAATTTTGATCATAATTATTCCATTCAGAAATACATCCGTCAATCCAATTTGCTCTACACACTTTTTTTTCCTCAATATGTTTAATTTCACGAAATCTATCATAAGGTATCCATTCTAATGCTTCCTTTATGCTATAATGAACTGATAGCTGAATATCTTGAATAAATTTATCAATATCATCATTACCACTAGTCCAACTTTCAAAGTTTTGTTGAAAGTGTATTGCATTACATGCATAATTACATTTTTTACATTTATCATTCAATACCATCATATAATCTTTTGTTTGTGGATCTTGAGTTATTCCATAAATTGTATTAACCTACAAATATAATACGCAGTAAAATTAAAAATTTTAAAAATTTAATTAAAATAATAAATTTATAATAGTAGTACCTTATTAGTTAATACTAATTTGATATTTTTTGGATTGTTTGTACTTTTCAAATCTACTAAATCTACTAACTTATTTTTACCATTTCGCTTCCAATTTTGATTTTCATTATCCAATTCATTAATATATCCATCAATCCAATTTGCTCTACACACTTTTTTTCCCTCAATATATTTAATATTACGAAATCTATCATAAGGAATCCATTCTAGTGCCTTTCCTGCATTATCATGGGCTGATAACTGAGTATCTTGAATAAATTTATCAATTTCATCATTACCACTAGTCCAACTCCCAAAATTTTGTTGAAAGTGAATTGAGCTACATATAAGATTACATAATTTACATTTATCACTCAAAATCATCATATAATTTTTTGTTTGTGGATCTTGAGTTATTCCATAAATTCTATTAACCTACAAACATAATGCACAGTAAAAGTTAAAAATTTCAAAATTTAATTAAAAATAATAAACTACTTATACCTCATCAGTAAATCCTAATTTGATACTTTTTGGATTATCTAAACTTTTCAAATCTACTGACATATTTTCATCATTTCTTCTCCAATTTTGATTTTCATAATCCCATTCATAAATATATCCATCAATCCAATTTGCTCTATACACTTTTTTTTCCTCAATATATTTAATATCACGAAATCTATCATAAGGTATCCATTCCAATGCCCCTTTTGTGTTATAATGAGCCGATAGCTGAGTACCTTGAATGAATTTATCAATATATTCATTACCACTTGTCCAATTTTTGAAATTTTGTTGAAAATATATTGCATTACATTTAAATTTGCATTTTTTGCATTTCTTATCAAGTTTTAGTTTTTTAATTAATGTGTCCATAAGACTTTTATAAATTAATAAAACAGATTTAAAATAATAAAAGATGAAAAGTTGTTATATACTGTGGGTAAAAAATATTTTGGCAAACAAATTATATAATAATCACAGGTAAATATTATGGATTTTCATACATGCAGGAGTGATGCAATGCATTAATCTATGACATGACATTTGCCTGTTTATGCTTGATGTTCATCTGTAGTTCTGTACGTGCTTGATATTTTTATCTGTTCATGTTTGATATTTATCTATCACGTGCTTGACATTTTTATCCGTCCGTGCTTGATGTTTTTATCCATCTGTGCTTGATATTTTGTCCGTCTGTGCTTGATGTTTTTGTCTAACACTGTGTTTGATTGTGTCCAACTATACTCGATAATTTTATCTTTGTCAAAAATTAGTTTGTCAGCACAGGGTTGATATTTTGTAATTTGTAGATCACATTTTTTAAGTTTAGCGTAGTTTAAAAAAATTTTTTTTTTATTGGCTTTTTTTTATAAACAATTTTTGTAGAGAATTTTTATTTTTAATATAGGCAAAGGCTTTTTTTGATAGAATTCTTTGGGAATTTTTTTAATAAAAAGATTTTTTTGATAAAAAATTTCGTTAGATATTTTTTTCATTGATAGGGACATTTCTGAGTTTTTTTTTTTGATGGATAATTTCGTTAAAAAATTTATTTGATAGAAATTCATTGGAGAATTTTTTTTTTTAATAAGATTTTTTTTTTTTGACATACTGTATGCCTAATTTTGTCAGAAATTTTTTTAACAAGTGAGATTTTTTTTGATAGAGAATTTCGTTAAGAATTTTTTTTTTTAATAAGAGGGAATTTTCCTTGATAAAGAATTTCTTTTGGGAATTTTTTTTTAATAGGTGAAAGTATTTTTTGACGGAGAATTTATTAGAGAATTTTTTTTTAATAGGTGGATTGTTTTGATAGAGAATTTCATTAAAGAGTTTTTCTTTAATAGGAAAATAAATAATTTCGCTGAGAATTTTTTTTTTTT